GTACAGAGAGGTACCATATACAAAATAATGTTACACGTAATTGTGTACGTTGGTTCAATGCTTACAGTAATCCTCTGTACGGTATTGTGTTCATGATTACGATGGAAGCTACTAGTAGTTCTTGTTTTGCTTCTCTTACAATCTATGTTTATTAACGAAATGTTGCTAGCATGCCAGAGAGTCATGAACTTGTAACCCTGAGTATTAGATAATCACTCGGTACTACGGTGCGTAAGTATTTCATATAAATCAATAAACGATAAAGCCGTGATTCTTACGTAAATAATATTGAATGAAAATTGCGGATATAATTTATTAGACAGTAAAATTTATAAACATAGCTACTACATAATTGAAAATTAGTAAACGCGTAATATTTTTCATTAGTATCGAAGTAGTAAATGATTGTAGGTTTTATTGTACCTAGGTATTATTAAACTATAATTTAATTATTATGTTTACACAGCTTAATAGTTAACATTGTAGAGAAGATGTTTCTGACTTAGTTATTATGATGGCGACGCACCGAGTTTCTTACAGCCAATAAGCTGGTAAAGTTGATATTTGTTTTTAGTTTCTTAACCATGCGATTAGGAATATGGTATGAACTCTGTACAAAAGTTCTCAAAATAAAAGAAATATAGGGTATTAATTTTAGTTCGTAGAGCTTGTTTAAACTGTCAAAAACCAAGCGGTCACCGGTGACCGCAACCTATTGTTCTATAATTGTGTCTATAATGACGGTACTCGACGAGTTAATGCTCTCTACTTTCATTTACTTAATGTACAATAGTTTTAGGTACTACTTACATAAAACACTGCTAAAGTGGAACACCCTCAAAACCCACGCTTCGATTTTGTCCAATTATTAAAATGAACACTATGGGAATAACCTAAGAACGAGCAAGAAATCAGATGATCTGTTTGACTGTACAGCGGTTATGCAGTCGTTACGACAGAGATAATAAAGTTCAGTAGGTGACAACATGCGAAATCTTTCTTGAATATTCACTTGTCTCAACTTTAAGTTGATCTTACAAAACATTCGTCATCATTTTAGTTGGTTGGGGATTTGGGCAAAGTGGTATTATTTATTTTGACTCATTTAAATTCCTTGTAAGCAGAAGTTTATTTAGGAAGTGTTTGCGTGAAATCATTTAATGAATAGATATAACTTTTAAACCCAACTGTTATCCCCGTAGGAAACCTAGTGTTCAACACTTCCAAATTTTATGTTAAATGAGTAATTAGAATTTCAGGAAACAGTAAATCTAATAATTGCCCTTTCCGGAGACCATACCAACCTAGAAAAAAGATCAGCAATGGAAATTAAATAAGACGTTCTACATTTCCTACTTATCTCTAAATATTATCGCTACAAATACATTTTCAGGATTTATTATTTAGGTACCTATCATTTCATAAGGAAAATTACATCATTTTTCCTCCACATTAACAGGAATTTCGCTACGAATAATAATTGTGTTCGTTTAGTATTTAAAATTACTGAGCCAAGTGCGGAGCAATAGGCTTTTCCTGAATTATTACAATATGAGACTTCCTATTTCACAACGTTGGATCGAGTTCCTTATAGCTTACTGACACATATTTTGGCCTACTTTATTTATGAAATGGGTCAAAACACCACACAAAGGTCTGATGACAGGACAGGTGTTGAAACAGACCTGTCCTGTTTAAAGTTCTTGTAAAGATAATAGTAACAGTTAAATTAACTCTACGTCTCTACAAACACGGTTGTTTGGGAAAATAATTGCATGTCGTGTGAAGTTAGACAAGTCAGAATAAAAATGATGGATCAACAATCACACAGGACAATGGAAGCAGAGTAACAACGATCGTTACAACAATCGTTTTTATATTCTGACTCTTAACTAAACAATTCCTAGACCATTAATCCATTAAACAATAAGAATAGTAGGTACCTCCATAGAAATGGCTTGTTTTTATGGGACATTAAGCCCTGCGACGGAAGCACCTACGGCAATTAGTTAAACACGCAATCAGTATAGAGAATTTATTCTTTCACAGAACATCCGACGGTATACGATTGTAAAATAATAATTATAGTTGTACCTATGTACCTACAAAGTTGTTTGTAGATTAGATATTGTTTTAGAAATCACTTCGTAATACTTTGAGAGCACCGAAGCTTTGTTTGATAACGTTCTTTGTTTCTTATCAAGGACTCGCATGCATGCTGTGGTAGACTTCTTTGTTTGTATTTTACAGTGGTATTTATTAGCCCTTTATTTATATTTACATTGTTGCTTACAATTTATGCATCAATGATCAATAATGCTGTTTGTATCCCCTCCCCCGCATTTTTTACGATTAACACTATTATTTTGCCACATTACGGTAGCTATCTAGCTATGGGAATTACAAAGGGCCATCAGTATTTATTGGAACTAGCTACTAAGAACTACTAAGAAACTCCTAACTAAGAAAATTGAAAATCACACCTCAGGGAGTTCGGGAGACATACACACACTGAGACAAATGAGGCAGTTAGATATTTGATAACAAATAATTATAAGGTTGCTACAGTAATAAAAATAACACGTTGCTTCCGGCTGCTAAATCTTGAGCCGATTAGATACTAGGCCATTAACACAATAACACAATTTTACAGTACCATCACTGACGAATACAAGTGTTTTATTAAGGCTTGACCCAACGCCCAACGGGCGATTGAGCTTGCTGACCATGTACTTATTATGCAAGAGGTAAATAAAATAGTGGTTTTGTGACATCTTTTTTAACCGACATCAGCCGCATTGTTTCCCGATTGTTTGCTATGATTTTTATAAATATTTTCCTAGTAGAACTTGTTCTGAATCACCGTCCAGTCGTTCACGCTTAAGGACGAGAGATCAAGAAAAATCAGGAAAAATTACTTAAAGTGCAAAAGTCCCTTTTCATGGATAGAATTTTACCTTATTGGTTAATTTAATGGTAAGTGGATATTCTAAAAATAAATCAGGCTTAAGCCGCTTTTCTATTTATATTTATAACACAGACGTATGCGGTTCATTCAGAGGGCTTCTTACGCAGGTTGAAAACCTGTGTCTACTTTTCTAATAACGGCAGTTACAGAACGTTTGTCGTTTTATGCATAGCTAGAATTCTATAGTCGAATCAATAACCGTTATTTATAATTAATTTTGTCATATAAATGAATAGGTTAATTAGGTAGGTCCTTAAATAATTACCTCACTATTATCGTTATTTCCTCACTAGCTCTTTTCGATTTAATTGTTCTAAATAAAATTAACCATAGATATGGAAGAGCATTTTTTTTAAAGAAAGTATATATGTGTGTGTATATAGGAGTCATATCCGGCACAGTGAATGTTCAAGTTTCGATATCAGTCAGTTGAGTCAGTGTTTACCTACACTACTGAATAACAATAAAAATAACACATATTGAAATTGATACGGCTATTTATATTCTACAGGGGGACGAGCAAAACGTTCCATATCACTTATTAATTCTGAACACACTGAGAATCGCCGTTAACCTCCTTTGGCTGGCCAGAAAGAAAGTCAGTTACAATCACAGTTTGATTTCGATGGCATGATTCGCCAAAATGTTAAATGACGTTGTTTCAAACAGGTGTATTAAAAACTAATTATTTTAATATTATATGCAATACTAATAACTATTTAGACAAATCTGAAAAGTAAGTAACTACCTACTTATGTAAAAAAAATATTCTGAAACATGGAATCCTGAAAAAATATTACTTTCGAACAGGTTGCAAAATTGAATTTTTATAATTGTTATCTGAATACGTAAAACTATACCAAGTTCGAAGACTCATTACCATCCAAGTAAAAAAAAATGGTTTCTGTCTTTCATTCATCTTACTAACTTTTACGCTTGCATAAGACTGATGTAAAGAGACTGTTTACTCGAGAAAGTCACACTGTAAGCGATCATAAACAGTGCTACATAACTGGATTCACCACAGCATCAACATTTGCAAAGTTTAGATACAATTGAGTGCAAATAATGTTGACACGGTACTAAAAGAAGATTTTCTGCACGCAACTACAACTAAAAAGACGTTTACCTATATAGGATTTTTTTTTTATAGTTGACACAAGTACCTATATTGTTCTTAGTTCCGCTCTCTCCAAAAACAAATATCAGTTTCTTCCGGTATATATGTATAAGTACAATGACTAGTATTAGACCCAATGTAGATTATATTATTATGGTAATATTTATTACCTATGTCACTTAAAATATTCCTTTCCTCATGTCCATTGTCCTTAACCCAAATAAAACCACGAGGGACGACTATATATTGTTTGATATATTACAACTTTACAACATTTAGTAACCTATATTTTATATTTATTTTGTATGTGTGTTTGTGCCTTTATTTACATATGAACAAAAAACATATTTTTGCTTACATTGGTAACATACACGAGGAAAAATAACTAATTAAATACTAGTTAAGTACTACAATAACAAACCTACACAGTTTATCGAACTTTGTCGAAGAAGCTAATACTAAACAATGTGTAAGTACCTACCTATAAGGCAATTGTTGACATGTGTGTTTGTAAATAAAAATTAAGCTTGTACCTTGTACCCATGGAAAAAAAACTACGTCAAAGAGAAATAACATAAGCAATTTATAAAAAAATATTTATGCGGTATAGGTGGGTACTAAGTAAATCAGAGCAGTAGCAAAAATCGTAACCAATAAGCGAACAAAATAACAGTCCGCGTCTTCGTAACTCGATGTCGTTTTGGTGGGAAGTAGCACATCTGACTTTCTGACCTACACACGGTATTGTGGTATTTTTAAATTACTGAACAATTTAGAGCATCTAATATTTATTCAATAGATACTCAACCTTGTCTGAAAGTAAACACATTGTTCATACTTTTTATAACTGTGTGAAAGTTGCTGTAAACTTAGTAAATAAATTGGCAAAGAAGTGTTTTGTATCAAACTCACCGTAACTGAAAAAGAAGTGGTCAGTCCCTCACATGAAGTCTGTCCAAAGGCGAAGCAAATACGTGCTGATCAGTGAGCGAACAACATTTCACTCGTTTTCGTGTTGAACAAATAAAAACGTCGCATTCACATACTAATTAATTTTCGAGAGAAACTGCGCGACGTACGGTATAACGCGCATACGGATAGCTGTGTGACAGAGCACTGAGTTGCTTGTCGGAGCCGCAACACGTCCGAGCGAACGAGGCGAGGAGGTGGGCGAGTGACCACAACCGCACGCGGCGCGCGCAGTGAGAGTTGTGCCTTCCTCCAGTTGCGTGTCGCAGGCACCACGACGAGCGTCGAAGGCCGCGGCTGCATCCGCGAGATGCTGCACATGCACCCGTGGCTCGCCAGCACCGCGCTACTGGGCCCGCTTCGCGGTCGCGCTACTAGCTACTATTCACGGAACAAGCGCGGTATACAATACTTACAACTAAATGTAAATATTTTAGCAGTCATCCAACATGCATATAAAACTTTCATGCTAATTATTTTGATTTAGTCATGCCAGTCTACTGTCTAATCTACCTCTGAAGTACATTAAAAACTTTCTGGGTCACCACTCGGTTTTAGGCAACGAGGTGTCGCGGAGAACCTAACGGGTAACCGGGGCTCCGGCTCGACGTGCAGGAGAAGGAACGGGGTGGTTTTTAGTCAGTAAGAGTCTGACACTCCCTCCCGCCTCACCCAGGCTGGAGCAGTCATTCGATGATTTTCCCCCCTTAAAAAAAAAAAAAAAAAAAAAAAGGCAACGAGGTAAATCATCGGTAACTTCTCGTTAGATAATGTTTAACATGAACCCATATCAAACGTTTACTTTTACATCCTATCAACACTAGAATAAGCCCAGTAACTAACTACTATCTGGTCTTTATAAAACGGTGTCATGCAATACATGATACTTTATAAAAACTTATCCTAACTAAGCAGTTCTTTTCGGATTTGGAAAATGGAAATACATACTTAGCTAATGCTACCTATGGTTTATATAAAAAATAAATATATTGAATTTCCCAATTACACGACATTTATGATAAGTAAAAGCCTTCTTATACTACGACGGTGCCTTTAATTGACTCCCAGTGTTTCCTCTACCGTTAAATAATTATGTGGAGAACAGATGTTCGTTCAGTTGCACGTAGCACGTGTCACTCTTGAGCGAGCACGGACCTTGGCCGCTGGTATACCATTCGACATCAACCCTATTATTTCATCCCTCTCTACCGGCCTTGCAGCTGTATTATTAATCCCTTTCGCACACTGGTACGATGTACGGGGTGCTGGTGTTGGTGTAAGGTTGTTAGACGTTGTCACCGGCAACGGTAGTCCGATACACGGCACGCGGCTGCATAGCGACCTGACGTGTTCAATAACTTCCACTCGACAATGTTTTAAGTTAATAGTTAAATACATTTAATAGTGTTTTTATTACAACATGAGCTGCATCACTTCAAGTAAGTGTTAGTTTACATTTTATCGTTTTAAATACTTTTTTGTTAACAATATACATACGTATCAGCTGAATGGATTGACGAAGAATTGAAGTGGACTGTGAATGATGTTGAAACATTAGTTTGACCTAGAAATTGTTCTTGACCTACGGTTGGCGTTAGATTTATTAGAAGTAGGTACATATTAAGTAGGTTTGAGACAGAGAAAAGAGGTCGGTTTGCATCTTATAAATTACTTAACATAGAATCAAGTATCAACTATCTAATCAGAAGATATCAAAATCGAAGAAATTCAACATTTAAAAATACCGCTCTATCATTTAAGTATTGTTTACTGTTCTCAGATGCTTTTGTGTTATTTTAGTGTGAACTTATAACTTAGGTAATATTAAAATTTAATATGATTAATGATTAAATTAGTGCGTAAATGTCGGTAAACCTACCCGTGAACAATTCAGGCCTTTTTGAATAAATATGTAAGAACTAAGGATTGCTGAAGTGACGGCTATTCTGTGAATTTAATAAAAAATAGGTACTAAATTCTACGCATATTAGACACGGTGGGAACGGGTAATGTAATAAATGTAGGTACAAAACTACATTTCTTCAGTTATGTAACATCAGAGCGTGTACAGATATTTCAAAATGCACAGCAATATCAAGAAAAAAAAATATGTCGCATGGACTATTGGACAAAAGAGTTTGTAGAGCATTAGCCAGTATACTATAGTAGTCTTTGTAGAGCATGTTGAGGTTTTCATCGATATATGCGATATGTATCTGCACGTAATTAGGTACGAATAAAAATAATTATGAATTAAATTGCAAATACAGTTTAAGAAATGTAATGTTAGTTAACTAAAATTAATCGACGAAACCATATAAGATGAAACATGTCTACATAAAATTTCCAAACATTTATAACAAGACTTAGTAAAAGTATCATGTTAATGTTAAATACAATGTAATGAATATCATTTACACGCTTGATTGCCTGGTATACAGTTACTTTAGTACGATCAAATTGTAATGAACCCTATTTAAAACACCCCTTATTAAATGGTTAAGTAAGTCTTCTTCGCAGTTACTGCATTTGCCTTAAAGAGTATAATTAAAATTTTATTCAAGTGTGGGAGATCCATGCTTCGGCACGAATGGGCCGGCTCGACCGGAGTGATACCACGACCTCGCAGAAAACCGACGTGAAGCAGCGCTTGCGTTGTGTTTCGTCGTGTGATTGAGGTTACCGGAGGCAGAATTATCCCCCTCCCTATCCCCAGTTCTTGAATCCCCAATGATCCCCAAAAGGCCGGTAACGCGCTTGTAATGCCTCTGGTGTTCCAGCTGTCCATGGGGGACGCGAAGCCGATTGCTTATCGTCAGGTGATCCGTCTGATCGTTTACCGGCTTTATACCGTAAAAAAAAAGAATTTAAATACGCTACTAGTCAAATGTAACGATTAATCTAAAAGATTTTAGTGAAGTCCTAAAATGTAAAGAAAAGTATTTTTTTCAAACGATATTTCTAACGCTTTTTCGCACGCCACCTTGCATGATCTATGAAATCACAAACTATGATATTCCTAAGTCTGTTTTAAATGTTGTGTCTTGATAGATGGTTTCCTTTTAGCTGTGCTCTATTTTTTATAAAAATACTTCAGCAAGTACTTATATTAATATTATGAAGCTCGGTACCTACCCAGTACCCAGTTACAATATTTAGTAGATACACGCACAAGTAGTACGATAAGGTAATAAACATGATTTCTTTTGTTTCAGGTTTCAAATAATGCCTTTATATAAAAGTTATGACAAACAAATTCTTTATAGGACATAATGACATTAACGGGGAGTTTTGATGACTCCATAACAACCGATAACTTTGAAAGATCGATCAATTTGGACTCGCTATATTGTTCTCATCTTTGGAAGAATAGTAATTTACGTACTACAATAATTACTGCACCGCCTAAGGATAGGAATGTAATAACATACTGTTATACATGTAAAGGCAAAATAAGAAAATATGAATTGAAATCACCAAGAAACTTCACGCCTCATAATCATTCCACTCCTAACAAAGACATAACAATAGAAAAAGATGAAACGTTCGGAAACGTACAACAAGATGAAACAAACTTAAGCCAACCCGTTTGTTCATATAACAATAACATCTCAAGAGACATAGAGTCAGACCACACAAATGTGGAAAATAAACTACGCATTCCTTCCATTTCTCAACATATTGATTCCAGCTTTAGACAAAAATTTACTTCCTATGAAATGGCTTCTAATGACACAAGTCGACGGAGACTGAGAAAAAACCTACGAGGTTTTGGATGTATAGTCAATTTTGCTTCGGCTGATAGTCCTGTGAAAAAGAGAACTCAAATTCAAGCCTGCTCAATAAGTGTGATGATTGTAGCTATTGTAATTATAAGTTTTATTTTGGTCAATTTTACTAATCCTAATTTAAAAGGTATGACCAACAAGATTAGTACAACCGTAGTGCCAACAAAAAATAGAGATATAAATGTAACAGCTTCGACTAATACTAACGTTAATATGGAGCTGCCAACAGAGTCAGATAATTCAAGTACAGAAGAATATTTTACTACAACCCAGCCAGCTAATGATTTTACTTTGGAGAATTCTTCAATAATTAGTATAATATCAAAAATTCGTAAAAATATTAGAACATATCCAAAATTTACAAGTAAAACCAACGAAAGTGAAAGACCTAAAGACGTCAATAATCGTGATCTATCCCAAAGATTCTGCTCGTGCCAAAAAAATGAAATCTGCATGTTGGATGAAAACAGTGGCACTTCCGTCTGTAGAAAACCAATAGATAACGATGACCCGACAGGTATGTGACATGGAATCATGAACAAACAAACAAATGTATACCTTTAGCTACTATTTATGAGTTTAAATACCCAACAAACAATGTAACTTAGTTCTACTCGCAGATACCATTCATAAGTTTTTAAAAAAGTCCAGTAGATTCTACTAGATTTCAAATTTTGATAATAATAATTATACATTCGCAACTTTAGGTATAATTTGTTAGTCTGTAACAAAGTCGAAAATATTTCAAGCAAGTCAGTTCGGGATGTATAATAAAATTATGTTGTTGTTTGGAACTATCTACATAAGTTAGATTACATAAATCTTCTATTTCTCCAGGTTGCGGAGGGTTGTGTGCTCTAGAGACGGAAGCTTGTCAACTAGTAGATAAAGTACGAGGAGTGCGCGTGTGCCGCTTGTTGACGCTAGTGACGTGTTCACCAGATGAATGGCGATGTCGCAATGGCCTCTGCGTAGCAGCGGAAGCTCGGTGTGATGGTTCTATTCAATGTTATGACCGATCTGATGAAACTTACTGTGGTAAGACGGTATTATATATTGCATTGTTTTGTCTAGTCAACATACACCTACGTCCTACATGAGATATAAAGATTTACAATACTGACTTACCTCAACAGAATGTGACCTGACGAAACAGTTTCGATGCGGTCACTCCATATCTTGTTTCTCACATACAAAATTATGCGACGGAGTTATTGATTGCTGGGATGGATACGATGAAGTCAACTGCACAACTGGTAAGATTTGTAACTGATTAAAACTATTGTTAATATGATAGGTACCTAAATAAAAATAAACAAACAGTAGATTCTCATTATTTACTTAAAAACAGTCATTATAGTTATTTTAGGCTTATCGCTTCCAGAAACATAAACGGGGTAGGAATTCTTTTGAATTTATAGCCTACCTATGC